GATCGATGTGGTGATGTACGAGGAGATCGGAGACTATTGACAGCTTCACGAAGCTCTTGAGTAGTCCCTTGACTCTGTTAAATGATCGATCTATATTCGGGTGTCCTTCCCGAAAGTGCCTTCGCTTGAATGCCTTCGCGAATGCCTTCACTTAACGCCATGGAACGCCTTCGCTGAAGCTTCCTCTGCGCTCGTGCTGGGGAACGGCGATTTGAGCTTCGCCAAGGCTTCCGTGGAGGTCTGGTGGCTGAGTCTGCATCTAAGGATGAAGCCGAGGAATGTGATGATCTATCCCGGCCACGCTGCTGGCCTTCGGCTGGCTGTACATCTGGGTCCTTCGCCAAGGTGGTCTGCCGACTTCCTTCCAGCGGGCTGCATCGCCTTGGCTGCTACGCTGACTGGAGGTGCCTCTAGAGTGTTGTCTAAGTTGGAGCCTTCGCCGGCTCGTGACTCTGGGCTGGCTGCTTCTCCAGTCTGTAGTGACCCTCCATCACCACCATGATTTGGTCGTAGTAGCTCGTCTGGGATGGTCTGCGCACGAAGTAGTCGGTGCCATCTCTGCGCTGTTAGTGGTGGGGCCCTCAGGTAAGTCGCCTGACATCAGTGTAGAGACATCAGGCTGCATGACCCATCTCTGCTGATGTCATTGTAGCTGTCACCGGTCGCTACTTGTCTCATACGCCGAGGATGATGATCGGCTGATCATCGTAGAGGCCAAGTTCAGCGGCTGGAACAATCTCGCTGAGAAAGTCCTAGTAGACTTCGCTGAATTCCCTCAGAGGTCGACGCTGCCCTGGGGTGCGAAGTCTGCGCTGGAGTGTTGGTAGCGACGGACCCTCAGGAAGATCATCGAATGTTGATCTGCGCTGACATCACTGTTGCCGACATCAGTCATTCTTTGATGTATTATCAGAAATGATGATCGGCTGATCATCATACCGCCCAAATCTGCGATGAGAACAATCTCGGCTGAGAAAGTTCTAGTAGACTTCGCTGGAATACCCCCTCAGTGCGTATCGGCGGGATGTCTGGGGAAGCAGGATGCTTCTTGAGGCGGCGGACTACGCCCCACGCCTCTCCACCATTCTAGCGGAAACCCAGACGGAGGGGGTCACCAACAGCAGTAGACTGGCTTAGGGTTCAGGTGTATCAGTCATGCTAGACTCTGCATACGCGACTCCATCTGCTGCCGCCTCAAACGCAAAGTAATTATTTATTAAAGGTAGAATTGGATAAATTAGTATCGCGAACTGCAACGCGAATCACATGAAACATGGCGCAGTACAGCTAGGGCATATTAAATGCGGATCAGCAGCAGAATAAAACGAATGTGCAACAGTACAGAATTTTTATCAACGTAATCCACTGCAAATAGCACGGCCCCGCATAAAACAGTAGAAACACCCACTAAATATCAATATATAATTGTTGAAAGATACTAGCTAAACCTCTATAGATCTCTATAATGAGGTAACTAACTAAATATAATCAAAGGATATAGTGTGTCGGGAGACACAGGCGCTCACGGCCCAGCTCACTGGGCTAAGAAGGAGAGAGTGAGGCACATGGGTAGGTGGCGCTCGCTCCTCGGCCAGCTTGTGGAAGGGAGGTAACTCGTGGTGTACTAATTAGTGATTTTACATTGAAGAGAACTTCAATTAGGGAGATACAAGTGTTCCACTATGTTCTCAAGAGGAAGGAGACAAGCAAAAGAGCATGAGTCAGGATAAGGAAAAATATACATATACAGATAAATGTCACACACTAACCATGACTTGTCCCGCTACACAAACGCACGTGTGAAGGCTTCCTGGAAGGATAAAGTGACAGTGTCAGAAATACATATACAGATAAATGTCACACACTAACCATGACTTGTCCCGCTACACAAACGCACGTGTGAAGGCTTCCTGGAAGGATAAAGTGACAGTGTCAGAAATATATATACAGATAAATGTCACACACTAACCATGACTTGTCCCGCTACACAAACGCGACGTGTGAAGGCTTCCTGGAAGGATAAAGTGACAGTGTCAGAAATATATATACAGATAAATGTCACACACTAACCATGACTTGTCCCGCTACACAAACGCACGTGTGAAGGCTTCCTGGAAGGATAAAGTGACAGTGTCAGAAATATATATACAGATAAATGTCACACACTAACCATGACTTGTCCCGCTACACAAACGCACGTGTGAAGGCTTCCTGGAAGGATAAAGTGACAGTGTCAGAAATATATATACAGATAAATGTCACACACTAACCATGACTTGTCCCGCTACACAAACGCACGTGTGAAGGCTTCCTGGAAGGATAAAGTGACAGTGTCAGAAATATATATACAGATAAATGTCACACACTAACCATGACTTGTCCCGCTACACAAACGCACGTGTGAAGGCTTCCTGGAAGGATAAAGTGACAGTGTCAGAAATATATATACAGATAAATGTCACACACTAACCATGACTTGTCCCGCTACACAAACGCACGTGTGAAGGCTTCCTGGAAGGATAAAGTGACAGTGTCAGAAATACATATACAGATAAATGTCACACACTAACCATGACTTGTCACGCTACACAAACGCACGTGTGAAGGCTTCCTGGAAGGATAAAGTGACAGTGTCAGAAATATATATACAGATAAATGTCACACACTAACCATGACTTGTCCCGCTACACAAACGCACGTGTGAAGGCTTCCTGGAAGGATAAAGTGACAGTGTCAGAAATATATATACAGATAAATGTCACACACTAACCATGACTTGTCCCGCTACACAAACGCGACGCGGTGAAGGCTTCCTGGAAGGATAAAGTGACAGTGTCAGAAATATATATACAGATAAATGTCACACACTAACCATGACTTGTCCCGCTACACAAACGCACGTGTGAAGGCTTCCTGGAAGGATAAAGTGACAGTGTCAGAAATACATATACAGATAAATGTCACACACTAACCATGACTTGTCCCGCTACACAAACGCACGTGTGAAGGCTTCCTGGAAGGATAAAGTGACAGTGTCAGAAATACATATACAGATAAATGTCACACACTAACCATGACTTGTCACGCTACACAAACGCACGTGTGAAGGCTTCCTGGAAGGATAAAGTGACAGTGTCAGAAATACATATACAGATAAATGTCACACACTAACCATGACTTGTCACGCCACACAAACGCATCGGTGAAGGCTTCCTGGAAGGATAAAGTGACAGTGTCAGAAATATATATACAGATAAATGTCACACACTAACCATGACTTGTCCCGCTACACAAACGCATCGCAGTGAAGGCTTCCTGGAAGGATAAAGTGACAGTGTCAGAAATATATATACAGATAAATGTCACACACTAACCATGACTTGTCCCGCTACACAAACGCACGTGTGAAGGCTTCCTGGAAGGATAAAGTGACAGTGTCAGAAATATATATACAGATAAATGTCACACACTAACCATGACTTGTCCCGCTACACAAACGCGATCGCGTGAAGGCTTCCTGGAAGGATAAAGTGACAGTGTCAGAAATACATATACAGATAAATGTCACACACTAACCATGACTTGTCCCGCTACACAAACGCACGTGTGAAGGCTTCCTGGAAGGATAAAGTGACAGTGTCAGAAATACATATACAGATAAATGTCACACACTAACCATGACTTGTCCCGCTACACAAACGCACGTGTGAAGGCTTCCTGGAAGGATAAAGTGACAGTGTCAGAAATATATATACAGATAAATGTCACACACTAACCATGACTTGTCCCGCTACACAAACGCACGTGTGAAGGCTTCCTGGAAGGATAAAGTGACAGTGTCAGAAATATATATACAGATAAATGTCACACACTAACCATGACTTGTCCCGCTACACAAACGCATCGCGGTGAAGGCTTCCTGAAGGATAAAGTGACAGTGTCAGAAATACATATACAGATAAATGTCACACACTAACCATGACTTGTCCCGCTACACAAACGCACGCAGTGAAGGCTTCCTGGAAGGATAAAGTGACAGTGTCAGAAATATATATATACAGATAAATGTCACACACTAACCATGACTTGTCCCGCTACACAAACGCACGTGTGAAGGCTTCCTGGAAGGATAAAGTGACAGTGTCAGAAATACATATACAGATAAATGTCACACACTAACCATGACTTGTCCCGCTACACAAACGCACGTGTGAAGGCTTCCTGGAAGGATAAAGTGACAGTGTCAGAAATATATATACAGATAAATGTCACACACTAACCATGACTTGTCCCGCTACACAAACGCACGTCGCGGTGAAGGCTTCCTGGAAGGATAAAGTGACAGTGTCAGAAATACATATACAGATAAATGTCACACACTAACCATGACTTGTCCCGCTACACAAACGCACGTGTGAAGGCTTCCTGGAAGGATAAAGTGACAGTGTCAGAAATACATATACAGATAAATGTCACACACTAACCATGACTTGTCACGCTACACAATGATGATATTGGTCACTGAACACAACACGAAGATATGATCCAGTAAGTCAAGGGCGCAGCCTAGAGGTTAAAGTGTCCGTTCGTCTTGCTGAAAACCAGGGTTCAATTCCCTACATGGTACAATGTTTGACTCACTCATTCACAATATGAAGATATAATCAAGTAGGTCATGGGGGCGGTGAGGTAGACTAGAGGTTAAAGCGTCCGCTCGTCATGCTGAAAACCAGGGTTCAATTCCCTACATGGTACAATGTTTCACTCACATCCTCACTCACTCACACTTCAGTAGGTCAGTATGTGCGCTGAGAGTCCGAAGAAAAAAATCAGTTTAACATACTGAAACTTAGGGTAAAGGGAAAAGTGTGTTGAAATCTGGATTTTAATCAGAATTTAGAATACAATTACAATATGTATTCAGATTTGCCCTCACCAAGCTGTGAGCATTCAGGTAATCAGTTGGTGACCTGGCTATACTGATCAGCTGACACACCCACCTTGTATGAGTCTACAGGCAGCATACTGAGAAGCAGGGTGACAATCCTCTGCGGGAACTCGTACTTGACCATCCAGAACACAAGCTCATCCAGCAGGGTCATGTGGTGAAGCTTCTGACTCAGGCCTCTCTTGTCTGCAACACCCACTCATATACAGTCAAATCCCGATGAGTCGAATGCCGGTGTCTCGAATATTATGCATAACTCAAAGTACCTGTCGGTCCCGACCATTCCCTGTTATAGTTGTCATCATTTGAATACCGGTTACATGAATTCGACTCATAAAAACACACGATGACTTCGAAGAAAAATTTGGTCCCATAAAAACAACAGCAATTTGTATACATAACCAAGTCAGTCGATTGGTGTAGCAAACTGATCCAATTAACAAACCAGTCCGGCTCACAGGGTGAGTTCAAAAGGCAGATTAGTGATTTTACGGAAATCACTGTCTGTGCTAATCAGACTGGAACTGATAAGGTGCCCCTATTAGTGATAGGGAAATCATTAGATAAACAAATGCTTAGGCGGTGGAATTAGGACTGGATCATCTTTTTTTCTACCCTCATAGACATACCTATGTCTCGAATACATCGATAAGTTGAATTTATTACTTGGTCCCCAGAGATTCGACTCATCGGGATTTGACTGTATATTATAACAGCAAGGATTTTTGTTTGTTTATTGTTTAATGTGGCACTCACCAATATTCAATCCTTATGGTGGAATACGTCTTTAAATAATCAAGTCTGGACCAGACAGTCCAGTGATCAACATCATGAGCATTGTATATGAAACTGGTATATGATAACGTGTCAACCAAGTCTGTGAGTCTGACATCCCGATCTTACAACAAGCATGGGTTGCTGAAGACCAACTCTAACCCGGATCTACACCTTTCATAGAACTGTCACTGCTATTTTGTCTGTTACGCAGAATGGAGTCTGTTTCGTCGGATAATGAAGACTTATTATTGTCTGGCAATGATGTTATCTATTTACAATAAAGTAAGACGAATTCTGCAGCATCTTCTCGGGTTGATAGTAAAGGAGGAAATCAACACACACTGACAATCATATTAGCATCAGAACAACATCATCCCAAATTAAATCAACATTATTCAGAGGGCTTAATCAAGGGAAAACACTATGACTTTAAACTAAATCAAAATCAAATATTACAACTGTATTATAACAATAATCCATCCTTTGACATATAAACAGGTGGTTGATGTCATGAACACTGTACAATGTCGTCACAGTACTCTGAAACATGATGAGTGAAGTCAACAAGCCTGACCACCTCATCCAATCTACTAGGCTCTTAAAGCAATAATGGGGTGATGGGGTCCTAAGCATGCTCTGGTCAACATGGACAGAAGAACTCCATGATCAGATTCCTTACTTTGGTACTTCTCGAAAGTGGCAGGGTACGGCATAATCTCCCTTGCTTGTACGTAATTCTTCTGGCTCTCAACACAGTAGGGGTTGTTTGCTATTTTCTCTGAAACACATCAGAACATCCACTAAACTATAGTTATAGTGCAACAACCACACTGAGCTACACATCAGAACATCCACTAAACTATAGCTATGGTGAAACAACCACACTGAGCTACACATCAGAACATCCACTAAACTATAGTTATAGTGAAACAACCACACTAAGCTACAAATCAGAACATCCACTAAACTATAGCTATGGTGAAACAACCACACTGAGCTACACATCAGAACATCCACTAAACTATAGCTATAGTGCTACACTCACACTGAGCTACACATCAGAACATCCATCTGCTAAACTATAGCTATAGTGAAACAACCACACTGAGCTACAAATCAGAACATCCACTAAACTATAGCTATAGTGCAACAACCACACTGAGCTACACATCAAAACATCCACTAAACTATAGCTATGGTGAAACAACCACACTGAGCTACACATCAGAACATCCACTAAACTATAGCTATGGTGAAACAACCACACTGAGCTACACATCAGAACATCCACTAAACTATAGCTATAGTGAAACAACCACACTAAGCTACACATCAGAACATCCACTAAACTATAGCTATAGTGAAACAACCACACTGAGCTACACATCAGAACATCCACTAAACTATAGCTATAGTGCTACACTCACACTGAGCTACACATCAGAACATCCATCTACTAAACTATAGCCATAGTGAAACAACCACACTGAGCTACAAATCAGAACATCTACTAAACTATAGCTATAGTGCAACAACCTCACTGAGCTACACATCAGAACATCCATCTGCTAAACTATAGCTAAAGTGAAACAACCACACTGAGCTACACATCAGAACATCCACTAAACTATAGCTATAGTGAAACAACCACACTGAGCTACACATCAGAACATCCACTACTAAACTATAGCTATAGTGAAACAACCACACTGAGCTACACATCAGAACATCCACTAAACTATAGCTATAGTGAAACAACCACACTGAGCTACACATCAGAACATCCACTAAACTATAGCTATAGTGCAACACTCACACTGAGCTACACATCAGAACATCCACTAAACTATAGCTATAGTGCAACAACCACACTGAGCTACACACATCAGGTTCACTGTTAGTGACATCGTCTAATTGTCACTGACTGTACATGTTTGAAAAACCTCTAATGATCATATTGTTTTGTTTTTAGAAGGCTTTGTTTTGTTAGAAAACTTCTTAGCAGAGACTTCCTTAGTGCTCCAAGGAAATCTAACACTAAATCCTTTAGAAAGTCTCTCTGTCACAGAGAGTTCTTTAGCATTTGAGTCTTGACAAAAAAAAAGACAAATAGTGCACATAAAAATGCCAACTAAAGGAAATGTACCGAATTATGTATGATCAAACGACTAGGACATGTTACAAGCATAGAATCTCTCACAGTACCTGAACTACATTAATTCCCTTCCGCCTTGACCTTTTTGCAATGTAAAAGCCATAAATGAAGCAAGTCTAGATTTTGCCCAAGTTCTGGGTGCTGTTGTACAAAACAACCTTAGCGCTAAGACTACCTTAAGTCTATGTTAAGGTATGGAAGTTACGGTCACCTTAGCGTTAAGACTACCTTAAGTCTATGTTAAGGTATGGAAGTTACGGTCACCTTAGTGCTAAGACTACCTTAAGTCTATGTTAAGGTATGGAAGTTACGGTCACCTTAGCTCTAAGACTACCTTAAGTCTATGTTAAGGTATGGGAGTTACGGTCACCTTAGTGCTAAGACTACCTTAAGTCTATGTTAAGGTATGGGAGTTACGGTCACCTTAGTGCTAAGACTACCTTAAGTCTATGTTAAGGTATGGGAGTTACGGTCACCTTAGCCCTAAGACTACCATAAGTTTATGTTAAGGTATGGAAGTTACGGTCACCTTAGTGCTAAGACTGCCATAAGTTTATGTTAAGGTATGGGAGTTACGGTCACCTTAGCACTAAGACTACATTAAGTCTATGTTAAGGTATGGAAGTTACGGTCACCTTAGCGCTAAGACTACCTTAAGTCTATGTTAAGGTATGGGAGTTACGGTCACCTTAGTGCTAAGACTACATTAAGTCTATGTTAAGGTATGGAAGTTACGGTCACCTTAGCGAAGACTACCTTAAGTCTATGTTAAGGTATGGGAGTTACGGTCACCTTAGCGCTAAGACTACCTTAATTCTATGTTAAGGTATGGGAGTTATGGTCACCTTAGCGCTAAGACTACCTTAAGTCTATGTTAAGGTATGGGAGTTACAGCCACCTTAGCGCTAAGACTACCTTAAGTCTATGTTAAGGTATGGGAGTTACGGTCACCTTAGCGCTAAGACTACCTTAAGTCTATGTTAAGGTATGGGAGTTACGGTCACCTTAGCCCTAAGACTACCATAAGTTTATGTTAAGGTATGGAACTTTTGGTCACCTTAGCGCTAAGACTACCATAAGCTTATGTTAAGGTATGGAAGTTACGGTCACCTTAGCGCTAAGATTGCTTTGGGCTTTTGCATTGGGACTCCTTTCCAGTTTAGATGGTGTTATTTGTTTCTATCGAAATTATACATACTCAAGGGACCTGTTACGATGAGCATACCTGTAGTAAGACGTCGATATTCTTGTTCACTGGTGAGAGTTCTGGCCATGACCAGCCTCATGGCTGCTCCCATGTCAGTGAGGCTCTGCAGGAAGGACAGGAACTGTTCTGCATCATCCATCGTTACATAGTAGGAGCTCTTCACGTCTACAAGAAGAAACATCAACACATTAGCAATTCATTGGCTATTACGTACATACCTGAAAATGTTTCAAAAACACTTGCAGGCCATTTTGTTGATGGATTTCTTGACTTTCCTCACCCATTTGGCATTTAATGATATTTCTGAAGAACAAAGTGCAATCAGACTCTTAAACAACAGGGTGAATAACTATGACATGGAATGAACATAGAACCTGCTGGTAACCATGGTAACTGTTGATAAACTTTTAAAAATGTAAGGAGAGCTGAAGAAGAACAGCTACTAAAAATAATCCACTGACAACAATTCTAAGACAGTTTAAATTTTTAACTGACCTGGTTTACAGTTGTCACGGAGATAGTGGATGAGTCGGAGGAAGACTTGTGGCATCATGGCTTCTGCATTGACCATCATGTCCCCGGGCATGTGAACTGCATGTCTGTGTGTGTCAGGGCCATGGCGGGGGCAGAACCTAAAGCATGACATCATTTATTTTACAATGCCATCTAATTTAAATTACGTTTTAATTTAGATAAGTGGGGTTTTTTTCAAATCAAGATGACTTAATATATATTGCCATTTGACAAAAAAGAGGTCAATATGCATTCTATTGACACGATCAGGGATGAAACTCTACACAGTTAAGGGCAGTGGGGTGGTCTAGTGGTTAATGCATTCGCTTGTCACCCAGAAGATCCAGGTTCGGTTCCCCACATGGGTACAATGTGTGAAGCCCATTTCTGGTGTCCCTCGCCGTGATATTGCTGGAATATTGCTAAAAGCAGTGTCAAACCAAACTCACTCACTCAATCTTCACAGTTAGACGATACCTAAGAAACCACTGACAATGACACAACATATACACAAATGTGTGAAAACGATGAGCAAGAAGATGTCAAGCTCCTCACAGTGAAAGCCAGTTCAGAGTGCTGTCTTTACTATCTCACCCACCAGTCACAGCTCCCAACTGTGTTGGGCACTCTCCAAACAAGCATGGACTGGAGTTAAACTCCTGGACCGACCATACAAGTGATGACTGTCATGACAAATACTCTTCCTCGTGCTATGTTTTTTTCAGTTGTTTTAAATGTCTGTTTTATATCAGCTATCATGTAGTTGGTACATTGAGAATGCAAAGTTAGGCGTTTTTCACATATTCTACAATCTTAAACTAATATAATCAAACAAAAATAAATCTAAATTCATCAGGGAAAGAAGTTAGTTGTAAAGCTTTTCACAATTCAATAAGGAAAGCTACATTTCCCAAAACAGAGACACAAAAATAAACTTCAGTACATTTTGGGTCAGAGGGGAGATTTTCATGATTCTGATAATAGCTGCTCGCACACTGGTAGTATTGATAAACTGAGGGTAAGGTTGTGCCAGAGCTTAGATGACATAGAGACGATACATGACAAGGGACATAACTGCAGCTCACCCTGAAGGATTCATGACACTGGTATCCCCACAGTCACAGGCGCCCCCTGCCTGGCTGCGGAACATGTTGTAGTCGTGTCCCTCGTGGTTGCCGGCCTGGAAACAGTCGGAGCAGAGGGACATGCATGGCGAGATGCCGCACGTCCGACATCGGTACGCCACGAAGTTGGCTGTCCATACCAAGCCACATGTGACGGCGTTGTCATACTTCCGTACTGAAATGAGACACTATTATTAACAGCTTGAGTTTGTTAGAGACATCATAAATCAAAGATTTTGGAAGTCAGAATGCAGTCATCAGCTTTCTTCTAAATTATAATGCTCATAGTGACTTAGTGAGTGAGTTCAGTTTTACGCCGCACTCACCAATATTCCAGCTATTTTGCAGCGGTCTGTCAATAATCAAGTCTGGACCAGAAATCCAGTGATTAACAGCATGAGCATCAATCTGTGCAATTGGAACCGATGACATGTGTTAACCAAGCCAGCGAGCCTGACCACCCGATCCCGTTAGTCTTTCTTACGACAAGCATGGGTTACTGAAGGTGTGGTATTTCTGTGGACCGGCACCCATAAACATGCATGTTGTATAAGTGGTTAATGTGTTCATAAGTACCTAAGGCTAAGAACAATAATCTGGAACATGACATTAAACTATGAATACAATTTGCAGACTCAAATATGAACATTTTCCAGTTTGAATATTTCTGTGGTTCACTCTTGCTGGAAGCAATCCTTACATCGTTGTTTAACAATGGATGTTAAAAAGATTACCGGATGTAGCATCCCCAACTCCCATGTCCCACCACATGCATATCCAAGACCAAGTTGGAACAATGTCTTTGTGGATCCCCTGATTAACTCAGGAGTCCACATGGCTGGCTGACTGAGTTTAGTTTTTCCCATGTGGGGAATCTAACCCGGTTCTTGGCATGACGAGCCAATGCTTTAACCACTAGACTACCCCTCCCCCAATATGGCTGAAATATTGCCCAGTGACTATAACCCTATCTCTTTTGGGGTATTAAATGACTAAAAAATCAAGGGATAACACAGTAGTCAACTCAGTCAGTACACTGAGTCAAAATGGAATATTAATGCTAAACTATGGTGTGGTATTTCTGTGGACCGGCATTCATAAACATGCATGTTGTATAAGTACCTAAGGCTAAGGACAATAATCTTGAACATGACATTAAACTCCATTCTCACACTTTGTAAAATAACAATAAGACCAAAACTAAAAATTAGGGGTGGGTATTGCAGAGAATTTTCATATTGCGATGTGAAAGCATAAATTGTGATATGTATTGCAATATATTGCAAGAAGGGTTCTTTTAACCAAAAACTAATTATAATTGAGTTAATGCTTGATTTATACAGCAAAAACACAACAAAATCACTGTGCTTGATTAGGCTTTAATAAAAACTTTTAATCATGACAAAATAAAAATGTAAATAATATTTGGCACAAATGAAACAAGGAAATATCAGAAGTTTTCCAACCATGTTGAAATTATATTCCTGAACAACAGTACATTTTGACAATGTAACAAACAAACTGTAATGATATAAAGAAAAGGAAGGACAAACTTTAAGAAATACAACTGCTTATTATGAAGCATTCATTAAAATATATTGAAGGAGTTTGATGGATCCAAACTATTCTTCAGATTGTTGGAGTTAAATTTAACCTAAACACTAAATTAATTGTTCTATGGCACACTTATGAAACAAACGTATCTTCATCTTTACAACATTTGGTTTTTGGTAGATTTCATTTTGCGTGACACATTTATAGTATTACTTTCTCAAAAACAATCAGATTATGTTTTAGGCAATTTGATGTCATGGTCACCTATTTGACAGGCATGTTTACCAATTTGACATGCGTATTGGTGCTGTTTCAATCAGGTAGATGTGCCATTAAACTGTATCCTTAGCACATTGATCAGTGTTGATGGGGGGAAAAAGCTACAACAATACTGATCCAACTTTGATCCTGATTTCTACATTCAACTACATTTAGACGCGCAATTGCCAAAACAGGTTGCATTTACAGAAAAGACAATATGCAGAATTATCATGATTATAGTCTTGACCATAAGCTTGAAATCAGTATAAGAATGGACATTGAAATTTGTTGTATGTAATAAACAAAAAGCTGTTATCCATAAAGTTATATGCTTTATTACACTACACTACTCATTTACTACTCTATGTACAGTGTAAACAGTGAACAAAATGAAAGAAAAACGCAAAAAGGAATAACTGTCAATTTTTGTCACTGACCAACCTGATCATGGTTGACTTAACTAGACAAGGCAGACAGCCATCTAGTAAGACAACTACCTCTACAGTATAAGGTCCCTACCATTTCGAAAAAAATTAAAATGTTACTAGCCTCAGGATACAACGAAGGTGTAATTTGGTCTGCATTTTTTTTCGTATTATGAGTTTGCCAGTGTATGCAGCATATAATGTACAAATGTTGTGAGTTCAAGTGCCATCACAAACATGATGAAACATCAGTAATGGGACAGAAAATGAAATAAATTTAAACTTTGCGTTCGCAATAATGATCATGTTGATCAAACCTCACCTGTCTTAGCAAATTCCTCGAATGTGGAACCTCCCGCAATCAACCACCTACACCATTCCAAAGGTTCGAAATCGTCTATAGGTCTCTGGGGTGCCAGTAAATGTTCCAGAAAATCGTGGAATTTCTGCAAATTGGCCTGTCTTGCATTTTCCCCTTTGAAGTACGTTGCTACACTCCTTTTGCTGCGTTTCAACAGCGCTGATCCCGATGGCATATCATTTCCAGCCATTGCGAAGATGCCATATGGGTTGCTTGAGCAGATTTCACCTATTATATCTGCTGCGGAGCGTTACAAAGTGTTGTCAAAGGGGTGACTTAATTAGTCTGTATCAAATAAGGACAATCTGCATCTTCCCACTCAATGTCAAATGCAATAAGCCATAACAAGAACCAAAATAAACGCAACTTCCGGACAAGAGTGCGCCATCTAGGGAGTTTGCAAGGACAGACAACTCGTTTATTTATAAGGTGTATTACAAAATTGGTATCACCGAGCGAAATGTGATTTTCCAACACAACATTGTCCTTATTTCATCCAACACGCAAATGTCTTGCTCCAAAATGTACATAAAACACGAAGTCGATGGGCCCCAGTCCTTCTAAGTTTAAAACTTGGAATTGGATTCCGACTAAAGAAGATACTTTTTTCAACGTATGAATGATAATTACTTTAAACAACTTGTTTCATTTATGTTTAAAACCAACTTCTATCATTCAGTTTGGTTATCTACTTTAGTGTGTATTCAGCATGTGTGAAGTGGAGAAAACTCAAAACGTGTTGATTTTGGTTATACTGAGTTAATAAGCAAGAGGAACGATTATTGCGATCGATTCTACGTATTACAAAGGAAACCAAAGGCGGAAAGGACAATGACATGGCGAAAAGTTGTGATGATCTTCTGAAAGTCAAGAAATAAGGCAAATGTAATTGTCTTTATATCAGACACATCTTCTCGCTGTATATTTTATCATAACTTGATTCGTATTAACAAAAACCGACAATAACTGACTGTATTATTATCCAACATTTTTCTAGTCTCTCGTACAGACCCTGAAGCAAATATATCCAAAAAAGCCCAGCTTCTGAAAATGAAGAAAGTCTCAGGGCTCCTTTTCATTATATTATATTATTTTTTTTACTATGAACTTTTTTCAGTAAAATATGTTCATTTCAGAGACTAATTGTTAGTCTAACATTTTTCATGTGTGTTTATATAATGTATATATCATATAATTCTTTCTGTTTTTTCTTATCATCCGGAAACTGTTTCTGCACCAGTCCGTTTCTGCTTGCACCCAAAACCAAATATACTTGGTTATACTGAGTTAATAAGCCAGAGAAACTATTATTGCGATCGAATCTACGTAACTACAATTGTAAAGGAAGCCAAAGGTTGAAAGGACAATGACATGGCGAAGAATTGTGATGATTATCTGAAAATAAAGAAATAGCAAATGTAATTTTCATTACACCAGACACATCTCCTCGCTGTATATTTTATTATAACTATAATAACTAAATCTAAGATCAACTGAATGTATTATTATCCAACATAGTGGGGTTTATATATAATATATTGCATTAGCTGTCTGTTTTTATTGTCCGGAAACTGTTTCTGCGCCATTCCGTTTCACCTTTCACCCCAGCTTCACTCCCCACAAAACGAAAGAAAATAGCAAATGTTGTGAACTCCGCATATATGCTAAAGGTTTGGGACAAACGGTGTGAATTTATTACTATTCATTAAAAGTTTGGTTAAGACTTTCGAGAACACTGAAACCGGAAGTGAACAATTTGGTGCTGCCAGCTTCAAAAGGGTTTTCTGTCACCAAGGAAGCGGTGAGTGATTTTTATCAAAATGTTTTGCTACCATTTTCGTTTACCGACGATCGGATTTACAGTGAATGTTAGCGTCCATCTATTACATAATTTGACTTGGCCATTACGACTTCGAACGTATAGCGATCAGCCTTACAAAAGTCAGTGCATCTGTGATCAAAGATGTTGCTAAATATGAAAACCAATATTGTGTGACAGCATTCAATGAAACAGAATTATTTCTGTATGCAGTGAATTCATAATATGAATTTTTAATACAATTAGTATTATTCCAGCAGAATTTGTAGCTATTTCAGCTTCGAGGTTGGAAATGATGAAGTTACATTTGACAATATTGTGGTGTCTGATAGCTCATTAATATGCACGACTGGTCCCGGACCATCTGTCACGTCCACAGTCGGTGACTATCAAAGAGATGACGTTTATTTCACTCAATTATAATGAAGACATATGTCATAAACTGAATGCAATTGTTATAAATGTGTGAGAAAAGTCATTATTCCCAGCCAACATAGTAAATAATGACATTATTATTCTGATACATCTGGTGATGGGTTTGTCTTTGTCCTAGAAATTTCTAATCTGTTGTGATGTTATGAATTATATGCATACAGTATTTTGTGAAACATGGTCAGTGACAACAGATGAGATATAATGTATATTTCTGCTATGATGATAGAGCTTGAGCATGTTGAGTCACAATTCAAACACACTATTCACCATGGGCAATGTACAGTTCCTATTTCACCAACTGAATTCAGAAGATAGATTATGGATTTCGACGAAGAAAACTGATGAACCAATGGAGATATAAGACTAATATTTTCACCATGTTTTAATATGCTTAGATTAAAAGATTTAAAAAGTTTGCTGAAATTTTCAAATTATGACAAAAGTAGTTAATTTTCACTTGATTGTAATATCTAGAAGTGTCCACAATATTTATACAAAATATTTGTCACTGTTTGGCTGTATTTTAGATCTAGTGGGCACAGTGAGTGGGTCAGTGGTTTGATCCATGTCCTCATCATAGTGGAGTATCCATGTAAAACATTGAACTGGTATCTCTTGTATAGCATTGCACTGGCATCAGTCAATATTAGTGAAAGCAGTCACCACTCAACGATCTTGAACGTGACACAAAACCCCTTTCACAGACCTTTATCACCATTTATTATTGTTAGCTGAAAGAAATAGAATATTTCCAGATGGGAGGGTCAGTTGTTTTGTGTTGATCATGATACAGGATATGATAGTGAATTTTGTTCTGATGCTCTTCAATACACCCTGTCAAATGGCAGACTTTTGTCTGGAGGTGGGAGAGATGTTACAGATTTTGAGAGTGAAAGAGTGGTTGGAAAGTGGGAAATGAAAATGCATTAAGGGATATATTAAATCTTATTAAAGTTTATTTGGATTTGTACCTGTAACGTTAAAGGTGTTTTTCTTACAAATGTTTGGTCTTGGTCAAAACGTTGTAAATCTAAAGTATGTTATTTGCATTGTCAAAGCAGATAGCATTCAAAGAGTTGTTTTTTTTATCATATCATTCTGCTAAATTCAATGGATCTTTTCACTATCGTAGCATTTTAATCTCATCTGTAACAACTCAGAGGCAAATGGACAATCAAATTATGAGACAAAAGCACCTGAGGTATTCATCATAATAGAATTGAGATACACTGATGTTTATATGTTTTATGCATGATTCAAACACACCACCCAAACTGTGTAATGAATAATAAACTAGTTATATCAAGGATGAAGCTGGGTGTTAAGTGTTATAGGATCTATTGAGTCACTGCTGTAATTCAAGTTGAGTGTTAGTGAAGCCACCTGTAAAATCACATGTTATCTGTGCCCTGCCCATGAGCATTGTGAGTATGCTATGAACTGTGCTGGGGAATTATGGTAATTTTAGGGGTGAAACGGTATACCATGGTATTAGTAGAACCGCAGTATTTCGCCTTCGGTGCGGTATACCGTTATGCAATCCAAAAGTTCGGTATTTTTGTTTTTTGTTCCATCATTTTATTAACCTTTTAAAACCTGCTTAAACCTTTTCTAAAATGTCTAGAAATCAAATGATTTTGTCCAAATCTATCTAGGTTTGGCTCTTGTAAATTTTCTGCGCTATGATCACAGGGAGTCAAGTCCTGTATTTGAGGGTCTCTGGGACTCATATTCTTAATTTTCAGGGGTCCTGGACTACAAAATGGGGGTCCCAGACACTTAAATATTATTATTAATACTGTTATTGTATTGTATATCATGATCATCACATTGTTACAGTTATTAAATTGCAAATGATGCCATAACCCAGCTAGTTGCAAACTCAGTGATAACTTATTGTTACTTGATTGGAATCTATACAAAAAGTATTTGGACTTTTTCTGCGTCCCTGTGGATGCGCTAATAAATTTTGTTGCGTCCATTGTCAGTTTTTATGCGCATAGGACACAGGAATTCGTGGAAATCCCTGGATCATATCTCATATACCAAACCGAAATGGACCGAACCAAAGGCCTTGTACCCCAATACGTATCGTGGTAAAAGCGTACCGTTTCACCCTTAGATAATTTATCTATTCCTTGCTTCATTTTGTTCATTGAAGTTGATCCTTTGAGAGTAGCATACATACTGAGGTCAGATGGATCCTTATCTGTCACATGGAATAAACATGATAAAATTGCCATCAAAGTATTCCATTGTTGTCTGAAATTATCAATGTGTGAAGTGATACAGGAATGAACTTTGCATCGATACAGATTTAATATAAATAGATATAAGTAAGTGTGTATTACTGATTCTTTGTTTGAGAAATTTATCAGTCCATCAACATATGTTAGTGAACCGTGACAGGATTGATATTGAGTTCAATCTAAAAATGTATCATCTTGGATATTTTTATTTACTTGTCGGTAGAATGACCTTTAGTCAACATCAGTGAAGAAAGTATTATGATTTTCTAGATTTATGCTTTATGAAAAGGAAAACTTGGACAAACTTAGCATTCTTAGACCCACTGCTATTATTTATTAAACCCCACAATATACAAGTCATAAGTGATAATCTGGTGTCCCCTGCGGTGATATTGCTGGAATATTGCTAAAAGTGGCGTAAAATCAAACTCACTCACTCATAAGTGATAATCTCATTTCCCTAACCAGTTTCATCTGCCTTCTGTTGTTTGAAGTGATCCATGTGTGAAGCGATACAGGAATGAAATTGATGCAGGATTTAATATAAATATATAGGTATAGCTGAGTGTGTGATGAATATTCTATTCTTTGAGAATTTTATCAGTGCATCGACATATATTGGTGAACCTTGACATCCAGGGTTGATAATGAATTCAGAGCGGTGGGGTAGCCTAGTGGTTAAAGCGTTTGCTCGTCACACAGAAGATACGGGTTCAATTCCTTACATGAGTACAATGTGTGAAGCCCATTTCTGGTGTCCCACGCTGTGATATTGCTGGAATATTGCTAAAAACGGCGTAAAACCATACTCACTCACTGATATTGAATTCAATCTCAAAATGTATTATCTTAGATATCTTTA